CAGGGTGCACCTGAAACTAATATAATACTAATTGAAAAATAAAAAAAATATTTTAAAAAAAGATTGGACTGTTCTGGGAATGAATTAATATCCTCTACTCCCACAATAGCCCTACTGTAAGGATGCAGTTGTCTAGATTTTAGTGTGCTGGATACAAGCAAGATACCAGAACAATATAACCGATTTGCAGACTACATGTACACCTCCAAATCTCCATAGGTTCAAAGATTGCAGGACTTTATCATTTAATCAGTGTTCTCTTTAACAACACTGCATTTTGGGGGTACATTTCTCACTAATAACCCTATTCCTACAGTGAATATGAATTTTATCTGGGCTACACTGATGTGAAATAGGATTCCATCTTTAGATATAACATATATGTGAGAAAGAAAAATTGACTAGCATTTGTTAGTGCTATTTGTTATTTTATTTGTTATTTTATTTCAGTCTATATGAACACTTACCTCTTTGACACTATGTGTTACTGCCCATATTAGAAAAACTCTTGACATTACTTGGAAAGAAGTCAGGACAACAGAAGATGGAACAATTCCTGAAAGAAATTTTAGGATGGATAAATAAATTAAGTTTATTTACTAAGTTTCAACATGAAGTAAATTTTCTAAATAAATTCTCTAAAATATTATAATTTTAATGTTTGGACACAAAACCAACTTCAAACTGAAACTTATCTTTATTGCTATATAGACTGTTTTTCAATGTAGTAAATATTAAAAACTTTTTCCTCCCTGAAAACAACAATATGCTTAATTAAAATAGCAAACCATGGAATCTAGGTATTCTTCTCACGCCTAACCAAGTGAAATATTTTTTTACACTTACCATACAGGTAGATAAAATAAAACCATTGCTTAACCTTTAAAATTAGACACTGAAAATTCATTTATAATATGGGTTTCAAAAATGAATAGGCACCTATAGAAGGAAAATCAACCTGCATATTTGGGGTATATGTCCCACTAATAACCCTATTCCTACAGTGAATATGAATTTTAGTGGTAAATATACTCCAATATGTATTTGTATCTAATGAATGTTGGAAGCTCCTAAATATCAGACTTGTTATACTATCTAATGGTTATGTTGGTATCTTTTATAATTCACTTGAAGATTTTGCCAACAAGCATAGCAAAATCAAAGTTTATTATCCTTATAAACCATTTCTTCTCACCTTGTTTATTACAGTAAGCATGGGTACAATTATCCTCCCAATGTCCTCAAGTTAAAACACTGGGATCAGACTTAATTATTTTATGTACTCCTCAATTTCTGCTAAGTTTGCATTTCTTTGGCCTCTCCCTTCAATTTCTATAACCACAATCTCTATCTAGAGACCAGCTACCACCACTGTATAAAATTCTTGCCTCCTTTAGATCATCTTAAACCCAGCAATAAGCCATATCTACAAACATCATTTTCTCTTGTAACTTTACACTGGCAAGGGTTTGCTACTAAAATAAAATCTAAAAGCAGAATTATGGGTATAGAATCCAGCAGCCCCCCACCATTTCTCTGGCTTTACTGTTGCAGTAACTAGACTTACCAACTTCTTAGATCTATTGAGTTGCATGTGGGCCATTCCACACCTGCCAGGAACCTCTCACCATAGTCCCAGATCCTTCTTCCACTTTAAAACTAATCTCATCTTCAACACATTTACTGGGCTATCCCAGACCAATATCCAAACCCTCTAAAACGCACTCAAAGTTCTGGACATTTATGTAGTTGGACAAACTACAATTTGCCAGAAGACCATGTACAAATCAGATAGAAATGTAACTAACTGACTCTATAGGTTTGGCTATGAAAGGAAATCACTTTATATCTCATTAAGAAAAAGAGATGCTGTAAACTGTTAGAATGAGTTTCTGAAAGAGGATTTGCATTGCCCTGCTCAGTTGTTTAGAGCATTATCCCAATAAGCAAAGGTTAAAGGTTTGATCACCAATCAGGGCACATAAAGAAGCAACCAATGAATGCATAAATAAATGGAACAACAAAATGATGTTTCTCTCTCTCTCTCTTCTTCTCTCTCCTTACAGTCAATCAATCAATAGAAAAATATATTTTTAAAAAAGAGGATTTGGGCTCCAAGAGGGATGGTTTGATTCCCCAAAGCAAAACAAGTAACATGGACATGTCAAGCAATGCTTAGTAAATAAAAATGCTTAATAAATCTTTGTAAAATGAATGAAAGAAAAACATTAATGTATGGACATACAGGTCAATGGCATAAAGTTGGGAATCCAGAATTATAGTTAGACTAGAGGCCCGGTGCACAAAAATTTGTGCACTCGGGGGGCGGGGGAGGGGGGGTCCCCCAGCCCGGCCTGTGCCCTCTCGCAGTCTGGGACCCCTCGGGAGATAATGACCTGCTGGCTTAGGCCTGCTCCCGGGTGGCAGAGGGCAGGCCCAATCCCTAGGTGCAGCCCCTGGTCAGGCTCAGAGCAGGGCCGATTGGGGAGTTGGGGCGCCGCCCCCTGTCATGCACAGAGCAGGGC